CTTTCTTTTTTTTCCAGTCATGGGGCTTGAATCTGGGCCTGGACGCTGTCCCTCAGCTCTTCAGCTCAAGGCTAGCGCTCTATCACTTGAGCCATAGCGCCACTTGTGTCTTTTTCTGCTTATGTGGTGCTGAGGAATGGAACCCCAGGGCCTCATGCATGCCAGGCAAGCACTCTACCACTGAGCCACATTCCCAGCCCCTTGTTTTGTTTTTTTTAAGATAGGTTCTCAATAACAAATAAGCAAGCAAAAAAACCTAAGGGTGTCTAGAATTTGGTTTCCAATTGGTGATCTTCTTCCTTCCTCTACCTTCTGAGTGCTAAGGTTTTGGGTGTAAGCCACATTGCCCAACTGAATTACCATATATATATATATGTATGTATATATATATATATATATATACACACACACACATATATATAGCACTTTCTCTTTTGCATATATCTCTCTTAATCCTACTTTTAACTAGTCACAGATCTTGTAACATCTTGTAACATATCATCAATGTGAAGAGACTTGTCTTTCTGCCACATCAAGCTGTTTAAAAAATTTGTTCTTGCCTCTTTTATTAAATCTTCTGAGAACAGTCAGCTAACACCGAGGTAGTCACTTAAATCACCAACCAACTGCCCCACTACTTATCCTACCCTTTTCTGGCTCAAAGGGATGATTTCAAGGTCAAAGACTAAGTCAGTTGTCACTTTGAGCACTGAGGAATAAATAACTCTATGCACTGAGTACTAATTAAATGTTCTTCAAAAATGAGATGATTTTACTTTACTCTAAAAGGATCCTTTTAAAGTCTACATAAAATAGCATCTATCAAGTAACATTCTGTTTTAGATCAAGACATTAGAAGTATTAGTTTAACAAATTAGGAAGTTTTTTTTTTAAGGATTTGTGAATGGAAATGTTACTTCATTCCCTGTCAAACAAAGTAATTTACTAGGTATTGTTTCCATACCTAAAATAGATGAACATATTTCAGCATCTTTCTTTTTCTCATGTTTGTCCTGTTATATAATAACTAAATCATATAGTAATCACAGTAAAGTTGGGTGACAGTGGCTTACTCCTGTAATTCCAGCTACTTGGGAGGCTAACATCAAGAGGATTACAGTTCTAGGTCCGAGACCTATGGGCATGGAGGTGCATGCCTGTCAAAATAGGTACCCACAGAACAGTGAGACTGAGAGGATTATAGTTCTAGGTCATTGCAGGCAGAAAAGGTCTAAGATACATGTTAACTGAAGAAGCTGAGTGGCAAGCACTTGCCATCCCAGTTGGAACAGGAAGCTTAAAATAAATGGATCCAGACATATGCCCTGGTTAGAAGTAAGACTCTCTCAAAATAACCACCATAAAAAAGGACAAGATGTATTGCTCAGTAGTAGGGTGCCTACCTAACAAATAAAAAGGCCTGAATTCAAACCCAAATACCACAAGCAAACAAACAAAACAATAAGGATAATAAAGTTCAAATACAGAATTATGGCACCAAAGCGATGTGATTTCTCTTTTAAGTTTGCTATGCTGGACTGCTAAGCAGTGCAGGTCACTCAGGAGGACAAAAGGTCAGGGACTGCTCCTTGGAAGAAGGTCCTTGGACAAGGAGCAGTAAGAGCTCTGGAAGTAAGGCCTGGGTGCAGCCAGTGTCTTGTCTTGCCAGGTTTTAAAAACTAGAGATTTTGACCAGTCAGTATAAACAGTGAAATCTACCTTTCAGAGGAAAACAAAAGCTATACGGGCTATCTTTTGGCAAGGTTTCTCAACGGAGGCAAGGGATCTTGAGATGCCAGGAGAGCTCCCTGGCCATCTCTCTCTTCTCATGTGGCCATCAAGCAGTAAGAAGGGATGATTAATGCTCCAAGGAAATCGAGTAGACTACAGAGATTTAAAGAGTCTAGGATCTACTCAAATCTATAACTATCTTTCAACTGCAAAGTTATTTTCTGTATTAGATATTAGTATTTAACAATTAGTCATTTTAGCTTATTTCTAGAAACATACTTTGTGAAGGTTTTTCAAGAAGTAAATTGTTAAAAGTTTATGAGAGTTGCTATGAAACATAATATTTTAGGACAAAAAAATTGGAGAGAGGCAATATTGTGTTTACTGGGCCATGGGTGGATGACTGACAATGGATGATGTCACTAATAGGCAATTATAATATCCAGCATTCCAAAACAATTTAATAATTTGTTTTGAAGAACTGTAGCTTTGAAAAGAACAAAACGGCACTAAATACTTATGTGGATGGCCATATGCCAGTATACAGTTAAATGCATAAAATAATGAATCCCAATCTTAAAAAGCACCAACTATTGTGTCAGCAACCTAAACATGGAAAGGGGATTAGAAGTTTATTAGTAAATCAGGCTGGGAGCAATCATTTCCTCAGCATGTGTGAGGCCTTGAAAAGTTTACTGGCAAAAGACTTATTTGAACTGTGTGCATTTCCCACGGTAAAACCATGTCCATAGAAATGTAAATGGTAGTAACATATCCAAAGAAATGTGTAAAAACTAGGTTAGATTTTAGGTTCAGGATGGTGAGAAAACGAAAACTCTATGGAACCAGAGACTCCAGTGCTCCAGGCCTCAGGAGAAGTTCCACAAGAAGGTAGGTCTAGCATTGTCTAGCCAGAGCAGATCTCTAGGCTTGGACTGTTTTGTGCTGGGAGCCCATTCAGGTCCTTGATGGGCCCAGGTGGGTGACTCATGTGTGGAGTTCATGGCAAGCGGCATGCTGCCCTAAAATGGCTTTGCTGGAGTAATGTTATCTAGTTGATCTCATGACAGAGATCTTATTTTACCCTAATACACTTAGCCATAGATGCTTGTGAGTCTGAAACTGCTTACAAAGAATATTCTAACTGAGGATAGGGTTCATATGCCTCAGTAACATGTCTAGATATGCTTTTAAACATCAGGCAAATTGACCCTTTTCAACACAGGATCCTAGCCGCCCCCCCCCATCCAATTACATTACAATACAGGCACTTTGTTTTGATAGTTCTTTCTTTTTTATATGTTCATTTATTGTAAAGGTGATATACAGATTGGTGATATACAGGATTGTAGTTGTGTGCCAAGTAAGGTAATAAATACATTTCTTTTTTTATTGTGAAGATACCATAAAGAGGGCTTAAAATTACATGAGCAAGGTAATGAGTACATTTCTTATCAAGCATTGTTGCCTTCTCCTTTGTTTCCCCTTCCCATCCCTTCCCATCTCCCCCCAACCCTCCCTAAGCAACTTTTTATAAAAAAAAAAAAACAACAAAAAAGGAAGCACTTGTTTTAAGATATATCTATATAGGGCTGGGAAGGTGGCTCAGTGGTAGAGTGCTTGCCTTGCATGCCTAAGGCCCTGGGTTCGATTCCTCAGCACCACATAAGCAAAAAGATAAAAGCCGGAAGTGGTGCTGTGGTTCAAGTGGTAGAGCACTAGCCTTGAGCTGAAGAGCTGAGGGACAGCACCCAGGCTCAGAGTTCAGGCCCACAACCGGACCCAAAATAAAACAAAAAACAAAAAAAAAACCTTTAAAAAATTAAAAAAAAAGATATATCTATATAACCAATACAACATTTTTGTGTTTACTCAAGGCTAATAGGGGATTTGTTTATAATATTCCAGGAAAATAAGTTCTCGAGCGGAGTTGATGTCTACCTTCATGGTGCCACAGTAAAAGCAGACAAGTCATGTGGCTGAGGCCTACAGGAAAGTTGTTTCGTTATTGAGTTCAATCAGGAAAACTGTTCACAGTTTAGAATGGTCATATCAGAAAAGTCTTTAGGGAAACTGTCAGGGAATGATGATAAATGCTTCAGTCAAAATATACTCATAAAGGGCTTCCTTCTACTTAGATACTATTATAAGCTCATATTACTATAATTAAAAAAATCAATATCAAGAGGGCTAAAGTAAAACTACTTTAATAAAGGTCCAACAAAATTGAAAAGTTTTCAATTTATTTTTACAACTAAACATATGATAAAATAGTTCTATTAAAAAGTTTCTTCTTTTCATAGATTAGGATGATTATTGGAGAGGTAACAGCCACAGTTCAGGCCAGATTTATGTACTACTGCACCTCTGTCTATGCAAAACATTTTAGGGCAAAGTGTCATATACTTACAGAGAATGAGCTTGTTTTTTACTATGGAAAACCAATAGCATAACAACTTAGACAGTTTTGCTTCTATCTCAGAAAATCTTTTTCACTTAAAATTAGATTCTTCTTTACATAAACTATAATGCAAAGATGCATTATTATTATAGTTAGGAAAACATACAGAAAACAAATCTTTAAAGCTGAAAACCACACATATACTTAAAATTTGTCTTTCTTCTTCACTTCATTACAAACAGAGTATTCAGACTACATTAGTCAATTATAGGATGCTGAGAACTCTGGTCAACTAGTGAGGCAGAGGTAGAGACCACTTGTGCAAGTCGGGGAGACAGAAGACAGTTTCCTGAAGGTTGTTCCCATAAACTAGGTCCCTGGCCACACAATAGGACAGAGAGGATCAATGAGTAAACAATACTAATAAGCAATTTGATATTCTTGCATTTTGTTATCCTTATTCTAACCTGAAATAGTATTCAAAAAGGTATTAACAATTTTACTGTCACTAAAATTCATTAATTTCTATAAACAGACCACAAAAATAGTATATTTGTGATACAAATGTAAACACTACTTTTTGTACCAGACACATGATTTCATTTAGATGTCATGTCCAGGAGACTTATGCTGTTTTCAATACCTATTTTCCTTATTAATTTCAATAAAATTATGAATCACTAAACATGCATAATCCTTTTTATTATCAATTATGTATTTCTAGAGGTATTTTATAGGTTCCACTCACCCTTATTTCACAGGCAAAGTATGGGATGATCCCAGCATACTGTCTTTAAAGATAAAATTAGAGATCAAAGACTAATGAAAGAACTGGAACAAACTGTATAATCTTCCAGAATGTCCTTACCTTACTCTGGTGGCCTTCTGTAGAACCTTCACTCCCGTCAGGCTGCAGGGCTTTCCTTCCAACTCTCTGATCTTTGAGACAGCTCCCTCCATGTGTACTTCACCAAACATTCTATAGGCATCTTGTACTAAAAGGCATAGTCTGTTTAAAAAAATTAGCATTTAGTCTTATGACCATCCTCTAACTTGCCACTTATTTTGGGTCTTCTTTAATTTATGTTAGCAATGCTTATAGTATTCAGAGCAGAGCAGTTTTTAGATTTGAGCTCATTCTCCTTGGCAAATTTATTATTTTTTAATTTTTGCTGTAGTTTTTTATTTTGATGAAGTCTTACAACAAAATGAAACTTTTTAAAAAGGTATGTCATGGAGTTTAAAAATAGTAAACTATACTACTACAAAATAGATTGTGGGACAGAGAACAATATTAAAGATAAGAATGTAAAAGAAAAAAACAAATGATGAGTAAATAATGAACCTTTGAAGTCATGAGTCTTAAGTGCTACACTGGTAAAAGGTACAAAAACTATACTTGTTAGTGAAATGTCCTAGAGACAGAGAAGTATAGTTTGTAAGAGAAGCAAATGGAAATATTGTCAGGAAGAAAACATCATTTTTGGAATAACAGTGTGTCATAAAATAAGATCAAATAATGATGTTCCCACATAAAAATTACCAGACACAATCATGATGTGGGAAGAGTCTGAAAAAATAACTGAAGCCAGGTGCTGGTAGCTCACATCTGTAATACTAGCTACTTTGAAGATCTCAGTTCAAAGCTATCCCAGACAGAAAAATCTTCCAGATTTTGTCTTCAATTAACCAGCAAAATGCCAGGTTGGAGATGTGGCTCAAATAGTAGAGTGGCAGCCTTAAAAAAAGAAAGCTATTGAAAGAAAGAAAGAAAGAAAGAAAGCAAGCAAGCAAGCAAGCAAGCTATGATCAAGAAAGCCTAATCACAGTATAAGGCCCTGTGTTGAAGTCCTGGTATGGGTATATGCAAAACCAAACCAAACATCCCCAAACTGAAGATCTACTGAGTACACATGATATTAGAATTAACAGGTACAAAATTCAGAACAAATATTTTAAAAACATAAAAATTGCAAACACATGAATACAGAGAAGAGCTATACAAAACTACTTGGAAGGTTTGAAAAAGAATAAAATAGAACTGTTAGAAAGGGAAACTATGCTTATTGAAATAACAAACTAAGTGTGTAAAAGCTACATTTTATCAGAAGAATGTATATATGTTCCCAAATATACTTCTGGAAAGGTCACCCAGAAAATAGTTTAAGAGTTAAGAGAAAAAAAATACAAGAGGGGTGAAAATATACAGAGGACAGAATGAGAAGCACTAACATAGGCTTATTGGGAATCCCAGCAGAAAGAACAAAATGGAGGAAGAAGTGATAATTTATAATTTAGTGACTAACAACTCTTCTGGAATAATTTAAGAAACAGGAAGAAAAACAAATACCAAAGCAAGACAAATGTTTGCAATGATACTGTAATTTAGCAGATAGAACACTAAAGATAATGAAAATTTAAAAGAGCATGAGTTTGAAAAAAATTATTATTATTTTATTATTTAGTGTGGCAGTCCTGGGGCTTAAACTTAGGGCTTGGGTTCTGTCCTGAGCATTCTGCTCAAGACTACCACTCTACAACTTGAGCTATCATAGCTCCACTTCATTTTTTTTTGTGTGTGTGGTTAAGAGTCACACAGACTTTCCTGCCTGGGCTACCTTGATCTTCAGATCTGATCCTGAGATCTCTTGATCCTTCTGAGTAGCTAGAATTACAGTTGAGAGCCACCAGCATCTAGCTAAGAACATCTTCAAAAGAATAAAAATTAATTTATAGTAACCTTCCCAATAGTCATGACATAAGTACAGCCAAAGTTGCACCTCAAAATGGTACAACAAAATCGTAATCAAGGACAGTCATAAATATTGCATTAAAAAAAACTGGGGGCATTTTCCACATAGACTACATTTGTTCATTTTTAAGGTGATCATTAAAATAATTTCTAAATTAGAAGGAAATTTTACAAAAGCCTTTTATGTAAAAAGGTTTGAAATACAAGAAGGACCAGTGGTAAAACATATAAATAAATAAAATAAACATAAGATAAAAATAACAACCATTAATATTATTTAATGAGTACAGACTTGGAAAGATGAGATCAGATGGCACGAAAATCAAGTAAGTACACAGGCTCCCAGGGTACCATTCCATGCCTGAAGCTAAGATATCAAGCACAATACACACGGTGAAATTTCAAGAAGAGAAAGAGAGAATATAACTTCCAAATCCCTGGTGGGAGAAGGGGAAGAAATGGAATGAGAAATATAGTTATGTAACAACAACAGGAAACATAAGGAAAAAGTATAAAAAAAGCAAGAAACATAACGTAATGAATAGGATCCTGTACTTAAATCTTTATATATTAGAAGGAGAATAAAAGATATTTAAAACTGTCAGTTAAAGGAATTTGTCATGTCATTTCAATGAAGAAAAAAAAATAAGACTACTAACAAGACTACTTCTAAAGTACAGGAAAGTTCAAAGTAACAGGAGAGAAGAAAGAAATTCAACAAATATTAACCAAAGAAGGTTCAGGAGAGTAAACAGTTTCAAGAGAGAAAGCTCATGCCTGTAATCCTAGCTATGCAGGAGGCTGAGATATGAGGATCAAGGTTCAAAGCCAGCCTGGGCAGGAAAGTCCAGAAGACTCTTATCTCCAATTAACCACCAGAAAACCAGAAGTGGTGCTGTGGCTCAAGTGGTATAATGCTCACCTTGAGCTGAAGAGCTTAGGGACAGTGCCCAGGCCCAGAGTTCAAGCCCCATGACCAATCAAAAAAAAAAAAAAGAAAACAACAATAAAATAATAGACCACTATTATTCAGAATGTTTTAATTTACTAAGGAAGCAAAGAATGTTAATCCTGTGTGTTCTTTCTTTTTTTCTGTGTGTTCTTAATAGCTTCAAAAGACATAACATAGGAACTAATGATACAGGGAAAAATTTAAAACATGTGCCATCATTGTGGGAGATTTTAACACACTTCTGTCAATCATAGACAACAGAAAATAAAGATTTAGAAAACGTAGCTGGGCCTGGAGGTGTACACCTCTAATCTAGCAGGAAACAGAGGCAGGAGAATAGCAAGTTTGGGGTCAGTCCTGGCAAAGTTAGAAAGACCCTTGTTTCAAAAACAAAACACAAATGCAAGTGCTATAATGGTTTGGTTCAAGTGGTAAATGATTGTTTGCATGAGTGAGGCCCTGGGTCCAATCCTCCATTCAAACAAACAAAAATGATTTATAAAATATTCAGATGCCTAATGAGTCTGATTTGCTAGATGAACATTAGGAAAATCATAACAATTAGAAAAAGTCATTTTTCCAGTGTGCATGGAATATATATAAAAATTGATCAACTGTATAGCCATAAAGCAAGTCTCAGGAAAGCGTGGCTCAAAGTGGTTGAGCACTAGCCATGGTGTGAAAGAGCTCAGAGACAGCACACAGGCCCAGAGTTCAGCCCCATAACTGACAAAAAAAAAAGGGAATTTCAAAGAACCTGTATCTTACAGTGACACATTCTCTATGATGCAATTAAATGAGTAAAGAAGCTAAAAAATATGCATTAAAAAACTTTACATTTGGGAAATTTATATCAATAGGAAATCACAGTGGACTAGCCAATAGTTAATAAAAATACCACTCATTAAAATTTATACATTAAGATATATTGTATTCAGCTGGGTACCAGTGGCTCTTGCCTGTAATCCTAGCTACACAGGAGATCTGGGGATTGCAGTTCAAAGCCAGTGTGGGACTCTTATCTCTAATTAACCACCAGAAAACTGAAAGTGGTGCTGTGGCTCAAGCGGTAGAGTGCTAGACTTGAGCTGAATAGTTGAGGGACAGCACCCAGGCCTACAGTTCAAGCCCCACAACTGACCAAAAAAAAAAGAATCTTTATTATCTTTAAGTACTTGTATAAAGGAGTTGCAGTTTATGAATACACTATATCTTTTTTGTTGTTGGTGGTGGTCATGGGGTTTGAACTCTGAGCCTGGCTGGTGTACCTCAGTTCTTCAGCTCAAGGTTAGTGCTCTACCACTTGAACCACAGCAGCACTTATGCCTTTTTCTGCTTATCTGGTGCTAAGGAATTAAACCCAGAGCCTCATAAAGATTTTTTTAAAAAGGAAAAAAATCATTACTGATGAAAAGAAAAAAGTTATGGCTGTGTTAAAGAATTGATAGCTTTCCATACAATAAAACAGTATTTTTCCTATTTACATCTTACAATCAGTAAGTTCTACAAAAAATCCTTGTTAATTACCAAATTCTTCCCTCAGAGCTTCACAGCGAACCCTGAAAAAGCTCTTGTGAAGCTTTACATTCTCCTCTATTCTAAATGTGTTAAAATTTCACACCGAGGCCCAATAATCTTGGGTTTTCTAGTCACAAAATCTGAGTTTTCTGTACTGCCGAGTTATATTGGATCTCCTGTTTCCTATACCCCCATATCTTTCCTCCTTAGAGGATTTCTTCAGTTAAGGAGCTCTAGACTGTTGAAAGGGGAATGGCAGAATGAAAAATTTTGGGACAATGAGCCAGGTACTTATGCTTACAATCCTAGAAACTCAGAAAGCTGAGGTCTGAGGATTGTGGTTCCTGACAGTGGCGGTGTTTTTCAAGAGGTAGTATGTTAGCCTTGAACAAAACAAGCTCAGGAAGCTGGGTGCTGGTGACTCATGCCTGTAATCCTAGCTACTCAAGACGTTGAGACCTGGGGATGCAGTTCAAAGCCAGCCAGGGCAGGAAAGTCTGTGAGGCTCTTATCTCCAAGTAACCACCAGAAAACGGACAGCACCAGGCAGAGAGAGACAGAGAGAGAGAGAGAGAGAGAGAGAGAGACAGAGACAGAGACAGAGAGAGAAGAAAAAACATTTTGAAACCATGAAATTATTGGCACTTTGTCCTCTGATTTTAAGGCCAATTGGCTGGGTATCAATTTCTAGATAGAAACTAATTTTTCATCCAACATCTAATATCGCTTTCTCTCCTGTTGCCTCTTTCTGGGAGCTGAGGACTGTTTTAAGTTTCCTGAATGCTAA